TTTTTATATATATATAGCTAGTTGACTTTTTCTTAGATTTTTATTAATTTTAAATAATTAGTTTATATGTTATTATAATTTATTATTTGTAGTTAGTTATTATTCTTTTAAAAGTAGAGTAAAACTAAAATTAAAATAAAAAATAACCTAAATAATCTAACAAACCTACCCCACTCCTACTCCTATCCAAAACATACTACACGTACAAAACCAAAAGGGAAAAGGAGAACAAAAGTTTTTGACTTATCTTCCAAAAATTAAAAAAATAAAATAAGAAAAGAAAATAAAACCATCATCAAGATTATACTCCCACTTTCTCTCAACTTCCCCACACTCCCACTCCCTCACGTTTTCCTCCACATTCCACACTCCACATAATACAACCCACTACCCCCACACCTACACCTATCCTAACACCTATATACATACACCCACAAACTACAAAAAGAGGAGACGTACACAGACAAAAAAAAAAGCATAGATAGAGAGATAGGCATTAATTAAAAAGCAATACATATTGTACTTTCTCACATTGTGATTAAAGATCTGGAAATATATTTTCACGGTTTCAAGTTCGTGGCTCCTGATTATTTGTCATTTCTTCTCGTTAACTAATTTTCACAAGAGGTAACATTTATTTGTATTTTTATTTTTTGCATAATTTTATGTCTTTATTATGCAAGAATTAATTTCAATATATTGAAGTTGTTCAGATTTTGTATGTGTTTAATCTGTTAATATTATTAATGTTGTATACTGAAATATATTCGAACATGCTATATGACATGTGAGTATTTCTTACATGCTTAAGAGTCCATTCCTCGCTCTTTTTTCCTTAATTAATTATCAAAGTTTTTATGTTTGTATCTTACTAAGTTGAATGAATTCTTTGTTCGATAGTATTTAGAAAAGTATTAAGTCCTGTTTTATGCTATAATCTGTGTGTTGTCTTGATATTTAGGATTCTAACAAAAAATAATAATAATAAACTTGTTAGTATAAGGAGAAGCTACGAAGACAAATTAAATTAAAATAGATTAAAAAAAAGATCATCTTTAATTTCAATATATTAAAGATGATTAATAGGTAAAGTAGTAAACTATCATAAAAACTACATACGGAGAGTTAACAAAGTGTTAAATAGTAGAAAAATAATATGTTTACTGCTCAGAAAAATTAATAATAATATAATCGTAAATCAAGTATATAAGGCTAAAAACATATAAGGAACGTAATAATAAATATGAACATGTTAAAAATTTACAATTATAATAAACAATTAATTTTTGAATTGAAATAACGTATAGTTCAAAATTATAAAAGAATTTGTAGTTAATATAATAATGTAATAATAACTTAAATACTCATGTGGACTGATATAAGGCAAAAATGTGTTGTGAATGACTTGAAACCAAAAATCATAAAGAGTAATACATAATAACACATAAAGAATTCAGATATTTAATAAAAATAAGATTAAAAAATCAATGCATAGTTTAAAAATAGATTTATTAAATAAAGAAAGTACAAATAAAAATAAACATATTAATAGATTCAAATGTATGTATAAAGAACAAAAAAATATGTATAAATTATTATTGTGCATAAACGTGAGTCACAACAAAAATGATATGTTAAAAAAAAAGAAGAAAAATAAATGTACAGAATGTCAAAAGAAAAATATTATAAAAATATATATAAAAAAGAATGACGAAAAATAATGAAGCGAAAAAAAAAGAAACAAAAACATAGCACAACAAAAATTAAAAAATAAAAAGCAAAGAAGAAAAACAGAATGAAAAATATACAGAACGTTTGAAAAAAAAACTTACAAAGAAAAATAAATAAATAAAATAAGAAGAGAGAAGTAGAATGAAAAAAAATATAAATAAAACAAGATGTGCACAAAAAAAATAAAATAAATATAAAATAACGGTAAGTAGAAGTAGAAACAGATGTTAAAAAAAATATAAAAATAAAAACTACAAAAAAATGACGTGCAAGAAATAGAATAAAAAAAAATTAAAGAAATTTCCAAGAAATTGGTCTTAACCTCTTTAACATTTTCTTTTTTTCTAAAATTAATCCCAAATCCCATAGAAGTTTACCTCCTATTATAATTCAAATATCGAATCCCACTAAAACGATAATACTAAAATTCTCCGGACTCTAAAAAATATAAACAAGACAGTTACAATAAATCAAAGAAGGTGGGACATAAGTAAATATATAGCTAATAAGTATACTATATCCAAAAACTAAGTCAAGCCAAGATATAAGTCAATGAAGCAACTGTGCTAGAAACATGGGACTCGAGGGGTGCCTTACACCTTCCCCTTGGTCAATAGAATTTCTTATCCAGATTTCTAGTTCGCAGACCATTAAAAATTAGAGTCAATTTCCTTTTGATTAGGGGTAAAATTAGGTGACTTGGAACACCAAAACTCAATTCCAAGTGGCGACTCTGAAATAAAATAATCCCTTTTCAAAATGTCACTTTAATTGGAGAAACTCTATTTTTCAAACATTTTCGTTTGGGGAAAAATAGGGGTGTGACAATGTGATACTGTGTGAACTTCCAACTACATAAGAATCATTGGCGATTTATTCAATAAAAATGGACCCATATGTATTCAGCAATCAACCAATCAGCAATCAACCAAGTAAGTCAACATCATCCACTAACATTAGTCCATTACTCAAAGTCATCATCAAACACATGTACTTCTTTGGAGATAACGCGGGGTTGACAGCTTGGATACACCTCGATTATTTTAGATTACTTTACACAAATATGCAAATACTACTTAACTCTATCTATCATGACTTAAATAAGTGGCGTAGCTAACTTGTGGCTAGATGGTTCAATTGAATCCTCTTCACCAAAAAGTTATATTGTATAAATTAGGTAAAAACTATTTTTAATCACCTTAATCTATGAAACAATTCTAGTTTAGTGGGAAAAGAGTTCAAAATTTGCTTATAAACATTACATCATATTAGCTGTTTCTCCACTTTAAATGGAATGTAATATCTAAACACATATACATAAAATATACATAAAAAAAAGAGTTGAGCTTCTACAGAATCATACAATATAAGGAGCCATTTTTGCAAAAGCTTGCAAGAATTGCTCACAATATGAAGGTTTTAATCATAGTCAGTTCATGATCATTAATCCACAGTTAATACGACGCGTCCACGCTAATCTCTCACTTCACCTCAAAATTTATCCCTTCAAAACTAAGCTAATCCCTATACATAATACAGAAATCACACAAGTCTGAAGTTTAAGAGATTGCATTACTACAATCCTCATTTTGGTAATCAAGGTGAGGGGATCACGAAAAAAAAAAGCCTATTGCAAAGAAGACATTACTACGATCCTCTTTCGAGGATATTCATGCTTCCGAGCTTAAAAAAACATCACCTCAGTGCCAAGAGAGGGCAACTTCAGTATTGGTCCATTGGAGGGGTTTAAAGAGTATGCCATCATTGGAGATTTTAGCCATGACGAATGCCCAAGAAGTAGTTAAAGTCATGGTGCTGGACCCCCAATTGCTTTAGCCAAGAATCGGCCACGCTTAATAGTGACACCATCCTCTCTTGGTCCCTCCCACTTCTGTCTGAAATCCAAACATTACCCTGCATCTTGTAAGTTCCCAAACCGAAAGGTGGAAGTGGGATTGCTTCCCCTTCGTTACGTTTCCTAATACCTTTCTCTGTGTTATCTTCAAGGTCCATATCTGCACAATCCCAATGATATAGTGTAAGAATCTTCTGCATATTATCGATCAAGTAACATTGGCGACAAAATGAATAGTACCTTGAAAAGAAGAAGAAAGGGTGTGGAATGTGAGAAAGCATGTCGACAAGTCTTTAATGGTTCTTCCCATGGGAATGTGATATATCGGATACCTGTAATTTTCATATCAATAAAGTTAGTGATACAAATCTTCACTTGATTCCATCTTTCATTGTTTTCTGGTTGCAAATAAAGAAGCTATAACAAATAAGAAACTAAAGCATCGACATAAATGATACGATCAAATAAGATCCGCCACAGGGAAAACAAGATCCCCTCAAACACCAATGAAGGTGAAAGTATAATAATGTCACCAAATACAAGCACTTCAATCGGGAAAGTTTTTATACATTTAAAGCACCTGAATAACCATCAATTCCATGATCGTAAGTGAGATAGGGAGAGAGAGAGTAATTTTACCAAGCAACTGACATCCAACTAGCTGGTGAAAGATCTACGCTTCTCAATGACATTAATCCAGGGTGTCTTTCAGCTAAGCTACTAATCTGAAAGCAAAATGAATAGTGAGATTCACATAAAAATTACAAAACAATGCGTCTTCTCAAGAAATTCAAATTATATTTGCTTGGAATAGTATAATCTGTTCTAGTAAGAAAGCATTGGATAATTCTAATGCAGAAAGGAAGAGTAAATGCTAATGATACCATACATAAAGAGGGAAAAGTAAGTAACTACTATAATACCTGACAGAATCGAATCAAGATGATACGTTATTTATACCATCAAATGGTAATAGTAGTAATAGCTAAGAAATGCAAAATAAGGAGTGATCATTTGTAGAATTCTGTCATTAACGGTTAACCATTACCACTTTTTCATTCTATCAGAAATCGCATTAGGCATAATGCAAGGGCTCAAAGAAGAAACAAGAAAACACCAGAAACTGGAATAAAAAGCACAAGTTGGAAAGAATACAACTAAGCTTTATACTTCTATCATACACGAATTACTCGCTAATACCACAAATTTTGGGTTAAAAAGATTGTCGGAAGCAGAGGAATATGAATTAGTGGAATCAATGTCATATTCAACAATCACAAATAGTTTTTATTAGTACAAAAGAGTGACATAAATTTGAGCAAACAAGATACCTTATCCACCAGAGGTACTCTTCCATATGGAGAAGATCTCTCAAAGTATTGATAATAAAGGTAACCCAATCTATTATTCATTTGCAAGTGATTATCTTGCTCAAATAGACCTTCCTCCGATGAACCCCCATCCGATCTCGAAAGCTTTTCACTCTCACTCTCTTCACTGAATGAATCACTGAAAGAATCCCTCATTTCCCACGCAGACTCAGTCTCCTCCCTATAACAAATTATCAACATTTCACCAGTTTAACTTGAAGAAAAAGACCATCATCACAAACTTTGACTATCCAAAAGTTGTTGCACAAGAAATATGCTTATCAGTTACAAAAATTAGAACTTTTTAAGTACAAACATTGTAACATACAATATACAACAACATAGCCAATGGGGTCCGGAGAGGTTAGAGTATACACAAACCTTACCCTAACTCGTAGAGATAGAGAGGTTGTTTCCAATAGACCGTCAGCTTAAACAGCAGTAACAACAACAAAATAATACAACATATCAATGTAACATACAAAATGGTACCTTAAAATGCTTACAGATGAACTGCTGGTGAAAATTTGAATTGCTGAAAGATAAGGCACATAATATTGAACTAAAGTTTCACCAGAATCTAATCTGATTGGAACTCCAGCACCATAAGCACTCCATTCATCAAAACAATTCCAAAGATCAGCCAATGTGAAGTATTCAATTTCCTCCCTTTCCTTAGGATGCCAAAGCTTATTAAGGTTTCTAATTTCACTCTGCAAATAAACAATCACATCATACAAAATTACAAATGATCTGATCATTCATTAAAAAGGGGGCAAGGGAAAAAAAAACTAAACCTTGGCAAGGAACTGGGATGCTACTAATGGTGTTGTGCAATCCAAAAAAGACTCAAGATTTGATTGCATTGAGCCTTTCTCCATTGTTTTCAAAGGGGAAAATGAACAAAACACAAAGAGAGCAAGAGAGAAAGAGAAATGAAACTGATTGCTTCTCTCTCTTTCTAACTATATGATGAGATAAAAGGATATCCCCACAAAGGAAAACAAACACAAAACAGAGGAAAAAAGGCAAATGTAGAGAGGGGAAGAGACAATAACAGGATTTTATTACCCTTTTATTAAAACACCTTTTAGACTTTCAAAAGAAAATTTACCTAACAGGAAAACTTTAAAAAAGAAATAAAAGGAAACAGATATCTTTTCGATCTCTTTTTTCTAAAACAACCCCACAATCAAGAACACAAACAAACCAAAAATTTCAAACCCCCAAAACTCAAAAACTCAAGAACACCAAAGACCCTTCTTTGAATTCAATAAAGCTACAAACTTTTCAACACAAATGTGTTAATTTTTGGAAAATGACATACCCCATAGCCAAAAAATTCCAAAAAACACTACCCCGTGTTTCCCGCAGGAAGAGGGATTGTTGTGTGTGGGGGGGGGGGGGGGTTAG